AAGGCTCTGGGGAGGTGAGTTCCAGGGTTTGGAAGAGACATTACATCAGCGGTTCTCAACATGTGGGTCGCGACCCCTTGGGCGGTCGAACGACCCTTTCAACAGGGGTCGCCTAAGACCATCCATCCTGCATATCAGATATTTACATTACGATTCATAACAGTAGCAACATTACAGTTATGAAGTAGCAACGAAAATCATTTTATGGTTGGATCACAACATGAGGAACTGTATTTAAAGGGCCAGAAGGTTGAGAACCACTGCACTACATGAACCACTGAACTGATTGTGTCCAACTCGGAGGGGAAGGGAAAAACATCTATTGTTATCAGAGGGTGCCCAGGGAGAAAAATCATAATTTGTAATGAATCTTTAACCTATTTAAAGTAATTAAGGAGCGACTCCATATGTGAGAGTGAGCTTTTGTCTCTTTACTCTCCTAATTAGTCCCTTCACTGTCTGGCACGGGCGTTACCTAAGGCAGAGTTTGTTCTTCTCTCTGCCTTTTTGATCCCTGCAGTGCTCACGATGCCTCCTAGAATATGCTTCCCCGCGATGATGAAAGGGGAAGACAACTGGCACTCTTCCAATTGTCTCCTTCCTTCCACTCAGCTCCTCCCTCTTCCCTTTGAACCCCTACCCACAGCTCTCTGTTTGGTGAGTCAGCTTCTCTGTCCCCCACACGCCGGTTAAACTTGCACCTCTTAGGTGCGATAAAATACACTCAGAGAGACAAGATACTGATGGCCATTTTGAGTCAAGCACTTAAATATTAAGAATGTGCATGTCAATTGGGCAATTCCAGAATATCAAAATATAAAAGGACACAAACCCCTTTGCCTTAGCAATTCCATATCCAAGAATGTTCCAGTTGCTTGGGGATGTATGTATAACTTATTCCAGCAGTTTTGCAATATCAAAATTAGAAACAACTAAAATATTCATCACTAGGGGACACTTTAGATAAACTCTGCTACTACCAAACAGTGGAAAACTGTATGGCCATCACAAAGTCCAGGGAAGCCCTGCCCAGGTGGCTCACTTAGTTGGAGCATCGTCTGGCATACCAAAAGGTTGTGGGTTCGATTCCTGGTTAGGGCATGCATGGGAAGCAACCAATTGATGTTTCTCTCTCTCTCTCTCTCTCTCCTCTCTCTCAAATCAATAAAAACATATCCTCAATTGAGGATTTTTTTAAAAAGTCTAGGATAGCTCTCTATGAAATGTTTTGGAATGATCTTACGGTGAGAAAAGCAAGAAGTGAAATAACATGCAAATAATGATAACTATTTAAAAATAAAAGATGTATTCTACACAGGTAACATTCTAGTAGTGAAAACAAGCCAAGACCAGTTTCAAGGGACACTAAGACAAAACAGGAGAAGTGGGAAAGTGATGTCGCAAAAGGATGAGCATACAGGGATGGGAGGAATGGAGGCTGTTTTGCAACCAACCACAACCTGCCAAGTACTCTGACAACCAGGACAGTTTTCTTCACCAGTCCCTTTCCTAAACAGGGGAGAAGAAAATAGTGCTCTGCTCTTCTTCAGCACATGAAGGTCAATTTCTTTTTTTTCCTTTTTTTTTAATTAGTATTTTTTATTTATTGATTGGGGGTGGGGAGGGAGAGATAGAGAAAGAGGGAGAAACATCATTGTTGTTCCACTTATTTATGCATTCATTGGTTGGTTCTTGTATGTGCGCTGACCAGGGATCAAACCGCAACCTTGGTGTATCAGGATGACACTCTAAGTTTAACCAACTAAGCTACCTGGCCAGGGCCCCTAATTAGTATTTTTTTTAATCTTTAAATTCTTTATTAGTTAAGGAATTACAAATGTGTCCTCATTCCCCCCCTTTATCCCCCATCCTCCCCCAACTCCCCACCCCACTCATGCACTCATCCTCCTGCTGTCCATGTCCATTGGTTTGGCTTATATGCATGCATACAAGTCCTTTGGTTGATCTCTTTTCCTTACCCGCGCCCTCCCCTACTTTCCCTCTGGGGATTGATAGTCTGATCGCTGTTTCTCTGTCTTTGGATCTGTCCCTGTTCATCAGTCTTGTTTAGCCAAACTGACTACATTGGATGTTTATACAAAGAGGCAGGGATCCTACAGAGAGCAGGCACCCTCTCCCTTCTTCACAAGACCCTGGTAATTCACAAGTCAGCCATTCAACCAGATGTTCAGAACGCATGACCTCATGTTGACCTCCTTAGCAATAAAGAGTTTACAGGATGATTATTTACATCAGCATTGTTACTTATGCTCATTCGTAATGGAGTAACTAACATTCTGGCGATTTGCAGAGAATTTTATGAGAAACCTATTGCAGTCAGCCTAAAACAACTAAAGTGCCATAGCTACTAAGAGCCGGGATCCTCCTCTCTCTGTTCAGAGAAAAGGAGAATCCTTTGGGGATGTTAGGCAAAGACCTCAGGGTTTAGCATCACCTTGAGAAGATTTGGTAAGATTAACACCCCAAAAAGCCTTTCCTTCCAGGTGCTAATTTCTTTTCAATCC